ATATAATACATATGATAAAATATAATGTATAATCATTTTTATGATACAAAATTCTTGGTTATAATGGTCCTTTACCATCATTACCCTGGGGTGGAAAGTTCAGTAGAGTTTATAGAAGCACGTGACCTGCAAAGTTTTATCTGAGGAGCTGGGGAAATCATCTGTGAATTCCAGAAAAAGACATTCTATAGAGATTGTAATGCAGAAATTTTACCTTAAAATAAAAATCCTTAGTAAGTTTGATCAGATCTGTATAACCAGTGTGATCGCTATTTTCCCATCTGTACTTCATTTAATATAATAATAATAATAATAATAACATAAAAGGGGATTCATCTAGTGGATACATTCATTACCTATAATAAATATAATATAGTATATAGAACATCAGTTTTTATGATACAATAATCTTGATGATAAGGGTCCCAACCATCACTGACCTGGGGTGGAAAGTTCAGTAGAGTTTATAGAAGCACGTGACTTGCAAAGTTTTATGGAGGTGCTGGGGAAGTCATCTGAGAATTCCAGAAAAATACATTCTATAGAGATTGTAATGTAGAAATGATATCCTAAAATAAAATGTCTTAGTACATTTATCAGATCTGCATCACCAGTGTGATAACTATTGTCCCATCTTTGCATTATTTAATATAATGATATCAGTTTTAATGATTTGTCTTCTTTTGCAGACACCAGATGCCTCCTGACCTCCACCCAAAGCCTTAACTACTGCACCGAGCAGTCCCCAAAGCACAGAGACTTACCTTACAGGGCAGACATCGCTGACAGCTTGGTGGATGGCCCCTCGCCGTCGCCCGATCAGCTCAGTAAGAAAAACAAGCTCCTGGCCAAGAAGAAGACCCGGACCATCTTCTCCAAGAGCCAGATCTTCCAGCTGGAGTCCACCTTCGACATGAAGCGCTATCTCAGCAGCGCCGAGCGAGCCTGCTTAGCGAACTCCTTGCAATTGACTGAGACCCAAGTGAAAATCTGGTTCCAGAACCGAAGGAATAAGCTGAAAAGACAAATGTCAGCAGAACTGGAGGGTCCGGGATCAGGGGAAACTGCTGGGGATTTATCAGTCCTCTACAAAGACAACTCTTTCTTGAATAGGTGCGTCTTGCCAATGCCCTTCCCTGTCCTCTACCCTGGGAGCACCATCCCTTACCTGTGCTTCTCCAACCCGGGCAAATATTACAGCCTTACAGACGGGGACGTATAGAATGCAGCATATTGCTAGGGACTAAGGCGACCTACTTCTTCCTCCATATCACAAAGCCACTTCAAGGAATGAATAAGTTGTCAATTTTGCGACCTATGATCACTGTAAGGGAATGGGAGGGATTTTTTTTAATTATTATGATATACCTTTCTATTATTATCTGCCTACAGCATGTACTTATTTTTGTACTTTTTCTAAAAAAAAAAAGAAAGAAAAAACAATAACTTGAACCCACATCATATATCTAATTTAAATACGTCCTATGCAAAGATACTTTACAAAAGGGATTCTTGGTCCAATGGTCCTGTATATGTGCACTTTCCTGTCCCATACAGTGCTTCTTTCCTTCTAGATCACTAACATGCTCAATTCACAAAGCTTCATCGGGAGGATAACGATTTTAATTGTAGCCATGCTATGAAATCTTAAAAATTCAATGGATTTTTATTTATTTTTTAATCCTGGTGTGTTAGTTTTGTGACTTGAGCCTTCTATGTGAAAGAGCTTGGGTTGACAATAGATTCATATTTCAGTATTAACTATTTTCTCCCCCTAGATGAGCATTTTTGTAGAGAGATTCGGTTGCTGTGGTGGTTTTAAATTCGTTCGGTTCGTTCATTTATTAAGATTGTGCTCATCACTATCAGGGGACCTACTACACAGGCAGAGGGAAGAGAGGAGAGGCGTTGGCCAGAGCAGCCAATCAGATTTCAGCTGCAGTTTAAAAAAAAACACGAAAGGATCTGGTTGCTATGGGCAACAAATCATCTTCTCTTTTCTACTGTAATGAGATGCTTCTGTTAGTTATGAATAACCAAAGACTTTCTATCTCTGGGGTACGACCAGTGTGAAAGAGAGGGAGCCCTTAAGAAGCACTGAAACATATGCAGTTTTTTTTATAATGTCTGTAAAGTAAAAAAACAAGACTCTTTTTTTGGATACCATACAGTGAAATAAAATATACATTCGACTTCACTGGAAGTCCGTGTAATGCATAGAAGAACAGTTTACTTTGGGTGGGTGAAATGTTAGTTGCACAGAAATTCATGAATGGAATCAAAGTCCCAAAGACACATCGGTATAAGTGCAACCAGATTTATGAACCGATCCGATGGAAGGGAAATCGTAAAACCATGTAAGTGAATTGAAGGTTGATGTGAAGTAGCGATGGTAATTTTGAAATTAAAAGAA